AAGAAAACAAATGACAAGGTTTGGTGAAGAAAGCTACCATTCATTGTAAAGAGAATGGGAGTCTCTGGAGAAAGGGAAAGCTTCTGGTGGGAGCTTTTGTGAAGGAAAGAGGTTTTTCAAAAAAAGAAAAAAAGAGAGTTTAGGGAGAAAACTAAAAAATAAAAAAAAGAGGACTGAAAGGCAACTAGAAAAAGTAGGTGAGAGAAAAAAGGTGTTTGCTAAGCCAGCAAAGAAAAGAAAAGAAGTTTACACTCAAGAAAAATGTAGTTTTTTTTTTTGTTTTCCTCATTTCTACTTGCATTTTCACGTGAAGTTGAAGCCTTGAATGTTCCCTATTAAAAAAAAAAAGGTTCAATAGATAGTTTCCTTTTACAAAGAATTGGTTGCCTTAGATTGTATTATTGTGGGATGTACCGAGAGCTTCATGCTCCCTCTTCGAACTTTAATGACAACCCTAAAAAATAGATCCTTTGTTTGCTAAAAAGGAGATTTTCAAAACTTATAGCCAAAAGATAAAATAGGGAAGGATTTTTAGTTTAATTTTTTATTTCTTTTTTTTTCTGTTATTGCTATCTCCCCTGCACATGGCCTGTTCTAAAAGAGTGAAGCTTCATTCCTTTTTTATGCTTGATTTTTTTTCCTATATAGATTTTTCATTGGAGGTTTAAAATTGGTTTTTTGGTCATGCTCATCATTCTCGTGCATTGTTTTTTAGCAGAAACCCAGGCTTCATCCCAACTGGCACATGTCCATGTCCTATTCCCGTGTGTGGCCTATGTATATTAGTTTAAGGTTTTTAGCGTTTCCATATGTGCTTATCTGTTTTTTTGCATGTATTATGTTTGAGGAATGTTGAAATCCCATCATACATACATTCAGTTGTCTCGACACGGTGGCTATGCATGAAAGTTTAAAGTTTTTTTCTTTTTTACTGTCACGATTACCTTCGTGCATGAACTGTTGCCTGGTGTACTTGTTTGCTTAAAGCCTTAAGATTGTTCCATGTCTTTCATGATATGCACGGACAATATTCTAAAGCCAAAAACAAAAAACCATTGCCAACCAATGGCAGCCACTATTTGATACTGTTAGGGAGTCTATCCGGCATTGTCTTTTCCATTAAAAATAATGCTCTAGTTCTGATTTGGTTGTTTTTCTCCTTTCAAAAAGTAATAGAAATAAAACTTCTATTATTCCTTTCAGTTCACATGTTGTGTATATATGTATATATATATATATGTGTGTGTAAATGGCTTTTTTTTGTTAAAAGAAAAATGGAAGTGGTCCTTGGACACATCTAAATTTAGCTTTGTTCCCTATTTGGTTGTGAATTTAGACTTTTCCTGTTGCCTTCTGTTGCCTTTCATGAAAACACTAAAAGCCATGACATGGGGATCTTGTTTGTAAGTTTACATAGTATATTTCTCCTTTGCCCCCATTTTGTTTTGTTTAAAAGCATACAAGCCCAAAAGCTTCTCTTAAATGGAATTTTATAATAAATATTTTTTTAAATAACAAATAAATATAAAGTCTAAAGTTTACTCTCAATAAGATTTATTTCTGTGTATTTAATCTTAATTATGCCTATGCATATATATATATATATATTCTTTTTTTTAGTTTAATTGTGAATTTAATTTTATACATTTGTAATTTCCTTATTGGTTGAATTCTTATTCTCTTTTAATTTAATATTCCATACTTATAATTTTTGTTTGGCATATTTTATTTTTCAGACATTTTAGGTTTATACAAAATGAATAATAATAGCAGCAATAATAATAGTAATAATAATTTTCTTAAAGAAAAAAGAAATATATGCAAAATATATAAGAATATATAAATTCATTTTTTAAGAAGACTCATAAAAATGAGCTTGCTTTGAAAGTCTACCTAGATATTAGAGAATTTTAAAAAGGCTTATAAATTCTTAAAATTTAAACCGAAATTTTAAATTGAAACCCTATACCTGAAACCTTAAATAGGCTTTTGTCAAAATATTAGATTCAACTTTGCTATCCTAAACTTACCCAAAATGCCAAATCCTTTTTAAATTTTTAAGGAGTTACATGAAAGACTTTTATAAAATAATTTGTTCTCAAATGCTGTTTAAATGTTGGGATATTTAAGAAATTTTATTTCATTAAGAATTTTCATACATTTACGCAACTCAAAATAAATTCGTTTTGTTAAAACAACAAATATAAAATATAAAACAATAAAAATAATAAGATGAGATTTTAAATATAAAAGTCACACCCAAACTCTACCTAAAGGTTGGAGAGTCTAGGTGGTCTCTTTATATTTGAAAACTCGATTCTTAAATTTGTATTTTATCATCATTTACATATAACTCATTTTTAGAATAATGTGTACATTCATAATTTATATATATGTTTGTTGATATTTAATATTAATTATATTATTATTATTTTATTGCATAAAAAGTTTTTTAAAAAATTTTTAGTTTTGAACAAATAAAATTAAAATAGCTTTCTATGAAATGTAATTGTTGGTACTCTATTTAGATATTGGAGAGTCATTAATGATTATCATTTACAAAAATATTATTTTATTATTTTTGAAGGAATGTGACGATAAATTTTAAATGAAAAAACTATCTTCGAATTTTATCTTTATGTCGGAGATTTTGAAAATATTTTTTTAATTTAAAAATTTTCATAATATTCCTAATAAATATTTTTTAAAACTATTTTTTTTTTCTAAAATGAAGAGAATTATAATTAAATTTCATAAAAAAACCTTTTTATCTATAATTACAAATAGTGCATAATTAATTGGTACCAATTTTGTCGACATTGTAAAAGTATTAATCTTTTCTGACACGTAACTGACTCTAGAGTCTAATATATTTTGGTAGATCAAAATGATCTTTTTAATAAACTCTAAACCCGTTTTATCATTTTACTTAAAAAGATAAAATTTTTGAATGATTAATCATACCTCAAAAAAATTTGGTGGCAATTTTTCTTATTTTTCATGAAATTAAAACTTTTATATTTAGTGATATAAAAACTATTATGTCAATTAGACGATTCTACCTTTTTTTTTATTTAAAAATATTTTCATTTGATGATCTCAAAACTATTATAACAATATACATATTTAATATTTAGACTTAATTCAAACTAAATAAAAAATTATATTTGAATCGAAACAAATATTATAATTTTGAATCGATTTTTAATTTTTTCAAATTTTTTCTCACCTCTACCCGTAAACTTGAAGTGATCATTAGTATGTTTTCAAAGAATGCAATTGTTACTTTTCTGGATTAAAGAAAAAAACATACTGAGTGAAAAAATAAAAGAACACAAATTTTTATTTTTGTAATTTTTTCATATTTCATAATTTATTTTTTAGATATTTTCAAAATGTAATATTTTAAAATATAATAATTTTATTTACTAATTTATGCTTTTAAAAATAAATTATTAAGGCTGGTTATAGAAAAATATTTTATTTTTATTTTTAAAAATATTTTTTATTTTTATTTTTAAATTTTTGAAAAATATGTTTGGCACACAAAAATTAAAAAATATTTTTAAAAATAAAAAATTATGAAAATTAGTTTAAATTATCACACAAAATTTAAATTTTATTTTCATTTTCCATTTGAACCCTTGATTAGGTTCACCATGGCTTGTTGGTTTGGCAGCAGGAACCCTTCCTTTCGTCAAACCTGAACTCGACGTCCCTTTCTTGAGGACGGACATTATGGTTTTGGTTTTTCTTGGAGGGTTTTGGTTGGCTCATGCGCCGATTACAAAGCCTTCCAAGAAAGCAGACTATAGCTAAAATAACAGTGATTACTGCCAGCAATATAAAAAGTGTTCCCAAGGATCCATCCAAGTGAGAATGAGATGGGGGTATTTGCCCTGACATAGTATTTGGATAAACGGCGACGGGTTGTCGTGTTTGAGGCTGCTGTGTTTGAGTCAATATTCTTTTGGTTGGTTTTTGGATTAAAAGATGATGAGATGCAATGAAATGGTTTAGGATTTTGTATGACCCTGCAGCTTATTATTCTTAGGGTGCAGACAAAGGGGTGCAGACAAAGGGAGCCTTTGGGGTAGAAAGAGTAGAAGGAAAGACAAAACGGCAACGAGAATTCAAAAAAAAATTTTGCCGAGCAACCAATTCGAACCCGCGACATTTGTTGCAAAATTGAAAAAATTTTGCAATGCCGTGTTTTCGACTTCTCAATTTCTGTCAAAACGTATTCATTAGAAATGCTAAAAAACCAATTTTTTTTCTTTAATTTTAACCTATTTTCATTTTTTTAAAATAATTTTTGTTTTTTCAACTAAACAAAAATTTCACTCGTCCTTTATTTTTTAGGAAAATGAAAATAAAAAAAAATCATTATTTTCAGATATATTTTTATAAATCAAATACAAACTAAGATTCTTACAACGAAATGTAAGTGTGTAAACTAATTTAATATAATAATTTTCATTGATTAACGATTGAACTCAATTTTTACGAATTAATAAGGAGGGACTAAATCTAAGACTTCATTTGCTAAATTATTAAAAAAATTTATTCAATTGAAAAAAATAATATTTTATTTTTTTTAATGTGTTTGATAACACATTTTAAAATTTACTTAAAAAAAAGTCTTCAACTGCTTAAAAAGATATAAAAACTCCAACCTCGTCCCTCTTTTCTTATCGTAAGGTTTTATCTCTCTTGAAATAAAAAAAATTATTTAAAAAAATTATTTTAATAAAAAAATATTGAATAAGTAGATTTATACCAACTTATCACTTAACCTAAAAAATATTTAATGAAATTTTCTTTTAAATTTTTTAAACTATTATCTGCTAAAAACATTACTTCTTTATTTGTAATAAAAATAAAAGTAAAATGATAAATAATACATTTTCAAAATTCAATATCTTACTATTTCCAAATAATATATTTATATCCAGCATTTAATTTTCCATAAAATATCAAACAATTTTATAATTGAAATTCAATACTTATCAAATTTAATATTTAAATTTTCAATTTATTGATAAGATACAGAACCTAACATTGGGGGTCAATGGTACAATTTGACCAATACCTCGCCCCCTATGTCCTATTTTGGGCTATGTTTTACGTTGGGTTAAAGAAACCCACCTCCATACTTGAAAACCAGGGGCATTGCGCGCGCCCAAAGAAATTTCGTTGTTAAATTGGTCATTTTGTGAGAGCGTATTAGGGTGACGAGCAAAGATCCTTCGGTTCTTGCGTCTTTCGGAAAGAGTTAGATTGTAGACTGACTCAATTGAAAGCTCGAGATTCTAGCCGGCAGGGAGTATTATAAAAGATGGCTGACTTTGGTGAGTGCTTTGATTTCGTTTTTTATTTTTTGTCTTCGAACAGTTTTTTGTCTAAGCTCTAGAAGCATAAAATTTTGGGGTTTCTTTTTGGTTGAAGAGGGTCGATTTCAGGTTTGTTCTAGGTTTTTATACTTCAAAGCTTGAAAATTTTGAATCGACTAATTTGAAGATTTTAGATATGGTTCTGAGATTAATTCGAAATTATTGTCTTCTTTTTCTTATTCTTCTCTTTTCTTCGGGTGTTTTCACTTTGTTTCCAGAAAATTCTCACAGTAGCAAAGATTTGAGAAAAAGAGAAAAACGCATGCCAAAAATAGAGAATACAATACAGATTGCTGACACAGGAGAGTCAATTATGAGGTAGCTCTTGTTTTGGCCCAACGCAATGTTTATTCTGTACTCTTTCCATTGTCAATTTTACCTTTCAAAGTTGTATATTTTATACTTGCTCGTGTTTTGCCGTTTTCTTGTTACACTTGAGCCTGCGAATCATAGGATAGGCAAACCTAGTTCCAGCATGGAAGACAAAAGCATATTTCTCACAAGCAGTGCATTCAAGTGTCACAGTCACAGGTCTTTCAACAATGAACAATCTAGCTCTTATACTGACGATGTTCTCATCAAGGAGGAGGACGACAAGGAGAAGAAACCTTAACACTCTAACTGGGCCTATTACCAGGGAGATGAAGGTTACAAGCCAATCTTATGGGAAGGAAAACTTGGAGAAGAAGATTTCAAGCCTACCTATGTCTCACAGCAAGGTATTGGAAATCATCACGTTTGCGAGTTGCTATAAGAACCCCTCTACAAAATTGCAAACTTTTACAAATCTGGTTTGTTTTAGATTACTCCTGTAAATACAATTATGCCAACTGTTTGGGTTTGCGTTTTTAAGACAGATTTGGAGTGTCTTGAAAGTAATTGATTTGATTTCTGTGTTGTCTTTGGTTGTAACTGTCTTATAGAGAATGCAGACCATGGTTGTTGATATGCAATTGTTTGAAATAGAGTCTTGCCAAGAGCTAAAGAGAGACTTAAAAAAGATGAGTAGGCATGAAGAAAACCTTCTGATTCTAAAGGTATACGAATTTGTTATCTCTTTTTTGTCATAATTCATGTATTTCCAACTTTTTTTTTCATCCATGAACTAACTGAGATTTATCTTTATATTGTTTTAGAAATTTTTGAAAGTCAGAAAAGAGAAGGAACACAATGATCAAGGGGTAAGTGGCACTAATCTCTAAATAATCTTGCGGTATTGCTTTAATTTCATAAGTAAGCCAAATGCTGTTTTTTTTTCAAGAAAATATTTGTGTCTTTTTCTTGTAATAAAAAGCAGTGGTGCAAACATCAAAAAATAGGATTTGAAAGGTTTATTATGACACCTTATTGATTAGTGTCAGTTTCCATTTGAAGGTATTTTTCGCCACTTCATTTTCATTGAGTAATGACGTCAGTTGTGTGGAAGAAAGGGTGAAGCAGATGGCAACAATATTAGCGATGGTAACCCTACGACAATGGATGTTAAATGGTTGGAAAGATTTGGAAACCTTGGCCAAATGTGCAAAAAAGTCTCATATTTATAATGCCCTTCAAGACAGCGTGTTCAAAAGCTTGGCCAAGTTTATTCTAAGTATTTTTGATACGGTACATTCTTTGCTTCTATGAACTTTGCTTTTCTCTTTATGCACAGTTTTATTATTTTAACATTTCTACGCTTAAGAGTTGATTGTCAAGCCTTAAGTGGGAACTGAAAAAAGTTCAATTTGAGGTTTGGTTTGCTTTTTGTTGGTTTTCTTATTAATATACTTATTCTTCTAGAAATTAATATTACTTTTATGGCTCATTTATCTGTCTTAAGGTTTATAAATGCAGTCAAGGTAGGTTTTTTAACATGTAAGGGTCTTTCCAATATGAGATTGGCTTGAACTGATGGTAGATCTTTAAAATGTTAAGGGATCTTTGTGTTAGTGAAGAACTAGGTTCTTGAGTAGTCTGCTCCTATGATTTATTCTGGTTTTCTTCTCCTCATTCTCATTTAAATTATTTATAATATGCTTTATTTGGATGGAATTTTCTTTTCTATTTTTAGTGTTCTTTTGCTTCTCTTATGGTTGTAATGCCTTCTTATTTCTGGTTATTAAACAAGTGCAGAATTCTTTGTAGTTCCTTTGCTGTTCTAGGGAGACAATTTGCTTATTCTTTTTTTTTTTCTATTTTCAGGAAGATCTTGAACGACTCAACTTTTATGATAGGATCGTATCTGAAAACAAAAGATTTTATCATGAAAAGTTGTTACCTCTACCTCCAAAGGTTTGTGTTTGTAGTCATGGTCCTTTGTTATTTATATATATATATATATATACACACACACACACGGACAAACACATGAATGCACACATGAAAGTACATAGATATGCAGCTCAAAGACACTCAAATAATGCAACTTGCTAATTTGGGGTAGCTCACCATCAACAATGTCCTAGCTACTGATTTTATTTAAATTGTGTATGTGACATTATGATTAAAACACTATGCTTTTTTATAGGATTGTGATGACCCTGTGAAACTTATCGAAGGGAAGATAACTCTTGATGGTTTTCCTTTGTTGACGGAGTATGATATGGTTCAGGTGTGTCTGTTTTTATTTATCTTTACTAGAGGATGGTTTTATGATATCTGCTAATTGTGTTATATGACCATAAAATATGTGTACATATGCAGAAGTACAATTCAGACTTTATAGTGCGCATACGAAAATGGACACCAGTTGTAGTGGTATGTTGTTGTCTTTAATACAACAAGGATCTAGTGCAATTGTTTTGGTAGTCAGTGTTGTGCTAAGTGGGTTCTTTCTGTTTATGATCCACTGTTTTTACATAGTGGTTTCTGGTATATTTCTGTTGTTATTTTCTTTAAATTGTATTTGTTCAATGACCCATTGAATTATTTTTTGTTTGTTAAAACAAGATTCCAAGTAACAAGGAAAGCATCCAAATTTATAATTTAGATGCCAAAATATTTAGAATTTATTAGTAACCTTTTTCAAAAAAATAATTTCCCCTCTCTGGCTGCCAAACGTTAGAATTTATAACTGTTATTGAATCTGTCTCATTTTGAAGAGTTTTGAGAAACCATCATTTGTATGACTAAATAGGTTAAATTTATTTTCATGGCATCCTTGGCGGGGAAAACGCCCAAATACTACATGTGCATTCAATCAATCCTTGCTTGTTTTCATATCTAACCGTTCTCATTTTGGTGGGTTGGAATTTTTTAAGGATTGTTTTGTATTTCATCTGTTGGGATGATTATGCCTTGTTCAGTTGGTGTTCTACAGGTTGAGTTTATGAATTTTGTGACTATGAAATTGAAGGCTGTTGCTTCAAGGTACTAATACATTTATGATGAGAATTTAAGACATTTATTTTTGTTCTCTTAATCTATTATTTTTTTGAATTTGTGATAATTTTTCTATGTTTAGAAAGGACGCCCACAGACGTTATGTGGAATGCGTTCAGAACTGTGATGCGTCAGTTTGCTCCTTTGAAGGTAGGAGATTTTTTGTTCTCCTTCATCTTAACATCTAGGGTTTTCACTAGGTCATGTAGATTTTGGTGGTCTTTTGATTTCTATAGCTGTTAATTATCTGGTTCTATTGCATTTGTTTTCTGTTTGGTACATATTTGACCCATTTGAGTTGATCCATCATGCAAAAAATCTATATGCACACGTGTTTGGTTCTATTTATTCATTTCCTAATTTGTGTCTACATGCATTTTCACATGTATCTATTGTTAAGAATTATTTGTTAATCTGACTCGGCTCTTACATGACATGGTAGAGGAAACCAAAATGCATGCAATTATGGAGAATGGTTTATCTCCCCCAGTTATTGGCATTACAGACTGCAATTGCGTTATTGAAGCTTTGTGGGATATTGGTATACAGGATATTAAGAAGCATTTTAACCTCTGCCGATTTGAAGGATATATTTGAGGAAGTCAGCTTGGAGAACAAAAAACTGTTCAATGCTTTCAGCGGGAGATTATGACAGCGTACGTCTCATATGTTTGTTGTTTAAAGTTGGTCATAAACTTATAATAATGATTATAATGCATGCTTTGTTGTATTTGAGTATGTTATATTTGCTTATGTTTAAATTATTTTAACACTTTGACTTTTACCAGATCCGACTTTTTTCTTGGGCTGTTGCCTTCATGTCTTAGAGTATTGGGCCTTTTGGTCAGTTACTGATGAGTCATCAACTTGATTAAAATTGCTGAGGCACGGAGAAGATATGAAGGCTACCGATACATCAGCAGGCACCATATCTTTTGGGCAGTTGGTTTGACAGGAGTTAAGGGCTTTGTTGAGAAGCTTATTATTGGTATAAGATTGCAGAATTTAGTTGAAGAACCTGCCGCATATCCCCGTACAACTTGTACATGTCAACTCGGACTATAGCAAATATTATTGGTAATTTTGCTTTATTTTGCTTTTTGAACTTGTTATGTATCATTTCTGCTTGGTTGCCGCTTGATTAGTAAATATATAATTTCAGGTGATGAGATTGTTGGAGTTGAGCATTTGATTGTTACCATTGCTTTTGAAGCGAATCAGAGAAGGCTGGATGAGAAGGCAGATGTTTCTCCACCTCTTGTTGCAGATGGTAGTGAATGGAAAGAGTTCGAAAGCAAGAAACGTGTTCAAGCATTTTTAAATGGTGAGGGAACATTTTGTTATTCCTTTTCCTAATTTCTTGTGCCTAATGGTCATGGAAATCTTGGATTTATGTTCATGGCAATTTTCACTCATGGCTTGGTTTCATACATAGTTCCTTCCTTTTTTAACATTTGTTTCTTTGCAGCTATGAAAAGGTATAAAAGAAAATCTGGAGGAAAGTGGATAAAGTTGCCAACTAAGATTGTACAATGGCGGGCTCTAGAAACAAAGTTAATGGATCAATTAAGGAAGGGTGGAGTAAGGACATGAAATAATGCGTTGGCATGCAGTCGCCGGTCTTCGATTGAGAAGTGTTAGATTTGGTACTGCTACTAATATATATATATACCTACATGCATAATAATTTCTTGTTTATAAATTATCTTCGTTTGAATATATCATCACCAAATCAATTTAAAATTATACCTTAATTTGGAATATGTTATACATGACATGTTACCATGAGTTTAGTAGATATATTATCTCGCATTAAGAATATAATCATATTTTTGTCAATCAATAAAACTCATGAAACTATCATAATGTGTGACTGAAATTTAATCATATAATTATATATTTTCAATCACTAAAACTCATTAAGGAATCATAATATATTACTAAAGTTTAATCATTTATCAATAGTATCACAAACATGATTAAAATTATATTCACCAATGTATATAATACAATTCAATCATTTTTTATATTAAATCTCATACCTAGAGTCAAGCATGGTTACATGCAATAATATCAATAATTCTAACATAAATTCTTAATTAATAAACATGCATGATACTGCTAAGTATCAATTAACAATGCACGAAAATGCATTACTCTCCAATAATGTGTCCATAACAAAACCACTTAGTAATACTTGAAATGCTTTATTAACAATATTAACAAAATATTCAATTTTATTAAATTAAATCACAAGTTTTAAATAAAAATTAAATAAAATAAAGAGATATATTTATTAGTTATAATAGAAAACAAAATTAATAATTAATATGAAATAAAATAATTCTTTTTATAATTCTTTTTATTATTAAATAGTAAAGTGAGAATATAAAAAATTTCATTAAATACTTGTTATTAAAATTATCACTTCTTGAAAAATATTGACTTATATTTCCACCTTATTACTACTTGAAAATTATTGACTTATATCTTCTCCTAAAAATTTAAACCTATTTTTGGTATAAATTAAATTTTTAAAAATTTTGAGAACCAAATATCTAACTTCAACTTTTGCAGTAAATAAATTTTTTTATAAACTAAATCAAATACTCAATAAAAGGATGTGACATGGTAAAATTATTTCAATCGTGCCATAAAATGTGACACCAAAATGAGTGTTTAGTGGGCTTTTTAACGCCAATCACACGATTACGTACAAATGAATCGTTGTACATTTGAGATTATATGATTCAAGACATAATCGGAGGGCTTAGAAAGAAGCCGACAAAACCCAATCCAATTTTTATGGCCCAATATACTTGGGTTACTTTCTGTCCAATAATAATGCTCATCAGCCCAAATTTATTAATCATAGCAGGCCCAACTGTGAAGCGCATGCTGTTAATTAATGAGACAATGGGAGCAAACCTTGCTCAGGTTATCAATCCAATTTTAAAAATTTGTTTAAATTTAAAAAAAAAAAATTGGGTAAAAAAAAATTAAAATTAAATAAATAAATTTGAATATAATTTTTAGATTCATTTAAATTAAAAAATGAATCTTAATAAAAATATTTAAAATTTAAATCAATTTGACTTGACTTTAATGTACATGTATATAAGTTATTTATAAATATTAAAAAATTAATTTTTTATTTTTAAAAAAAATTATAAATATAAAATTATTTATATCTATTTTAAATATTCGTGAGAATAAAAATTAAAATAAATTTAAAATATCTGTTAAATAAACAAAAAATAAATTTAATACGAAAATTCAAAGATGCTGAAAAATGCACTATCTCTATCAATGTCCTGCCAATTCGCATCCCTAGTTTTGGACGGTATTATAACGTTGGATTGTTAGTCCAACTCCCAACGAGTTACAGTACAACAATTTTTCCACAAAATTGATGCAGACAGCGCACCTAGCATGGGACTTGGAAATTGGATGTGAAATTCTCTGCTCAGGAAAGAAGGACATTACTGGATCAGCCTACTATTCACCGACAGCATAGAGAGAGAGAGAGAGAGAGAGAGAGAGCAGTAACATACATGCCAGAAAGCTTGGAGTATGGAGCTTTCATGGAGAAATTTACTCTTCGACCAGGTCCTTCACCTATCGATCATCACCAACTCCCCTTGAGTGGCCTCACTTTTGCTGTTAAAGACATGTCAGTCCATGTTTATGCAAGTATTGTCTTTTCCAACTTTTCCTCATGAAATTATTCTTCTAACTATGGATGCCAGATATTGGAAAACTCAAAGCAGATTACCTGTTTTCTTTCTTTTATATGCTAGTTTTGCTTTGGATTTCTTGTTTCATCTTTTGTCAGCAAAAGCTTGTATGTGTAGATAGTGTTTTACCAATTCATACACCTATTTCTAAGTACAAGCTCTTCTGCATATTTAGTTTTTAACTGCATTTAGCCTTGAGTCTGATTATATTCATTTATTACATACTAATGTCTTCTGTCGAAGTATCTAATGTCTTCGCGAGTCAACCTTCTTCCTGGTTGTGATTTCAGCCATTTGGGCCTTCCTATATTCTTTTTTGTTGGTAAGTGGTATATGTCTTTGCTGCAAGCTCAGATCAATTTCAGTTTTTGATTATTGGCTGTCTTTGTTGCAAGCTCAGATCAATTTCAGTTTTTGATTATTGGCTCTTCTGCTTTCTGGTTGCTTGATGTTTATAATCTCAAATTAAAAGTATGGAAACAGATTTGATGTGGATGGATATGTAACTGGCTTTGGAAACCCTGACTGGGCAAGAACTCATTCAGCTGCCACGTCTACGGCACCGGCTGTGTTGGATGTCTTAAGGGCTGGGGCAACTTGTGTTGGAAAAACTATCTCGGATGAAATGGCATACTGGTAAGGTTTGTTTTATAGATTTTATGATTGCAAATACAATTACTTACCTTGATTAATCGCTCTTGCTGGCTATACCTCTGAGTATTTTCTCTTTTTTTTTTCAAGTATTTATGGAGAAAATAAGCCATTTATGGCACTCCCAGGAATCCATGTGCCGCACCAGATAGGGTGCCCTGGAGGATCTTCCAGCGGCTCTGCTGTTGCTAGTAGGTGCAATGTGGTGGACTTCTCCCTAGGTGAGCATTTTCCTTTTTCACTAAGATATTTCTTCTCTCTATTTGACCACAATTATGTGGACTGAATTTTTATTTCCGGTATAGGAACTGACACTGGAGCAAGTGTGAGACTCGCCTTGCCATCTATATTGTGGAAGTTCTTGGGATTAGACCTTCACATTGATGCTGTCTCCACTGTGGAGTTCTTCCTTTGTCACAAAGCTTCGATACTGGCGTTAAGGATTAAGATGCGATGTTCCTATTTCAAAATCTATATGTTGCACTTAACTCGATCTGAGAAACTTTTATTCTGATTGACCTGAAAAGCCTAACTTGAAAATTTAGGGTCAAATTTTATATCATACAGTAAATAATGCCAATAGAAGCCAGTAATTTTATCAATTAAACTAGTTAGGACTAATCAATGGTCACTACTTTATTTGAAAATGTGATAAAGTTTCCATGCCTGTATTCTATGTTCTACAAACTCTATGAATGAACTATATTTGTAAAGCTCCTTAGTGTCACTCCTTTTGACATCAAGTTCTAATGTAGGATGGTTTGCTAGGGATCCTGTGATTTTGAATTGAGTTGGATGTGTTCTGCTGCATTTGCCTGATATGAATCCTACCAGACCTATTCAGATTATTATTCTAGAAGATTGTTTCTGCCTATCAAGTGTTCCAAGTGAACGAACAGCTCAAATTCTTGTTAAATCAGTTGAGAAGCTCTTTGGAGGTAAGTAAATCAACCATAGGCTTATTTAAACTTAAAGGCTAATAGAGATTTATCCAGGCTTGGAAATGATACTTGTTAACCATTTCAAGTATGGATGTTCAGACACAACCTGGCTGATTAGAAGGGCCATTAGACTTTACTTTAGGTATTTGAAAGTGCAGGTCAATTTGTAAAGCATGTAATCCTTGGAGACTATGTCAAGGACAATGTGCCAACTCTGCAGCATTTCATGGATAAGGAAAATGAAGGCCAAGAGTATGATATACCATCCTTGGCAGCCCTTTCAAGTGTAATGCAGTTGCTTCAAAGGTGCAAAACATCAAGTAACTTGTAACCATTCAGCCAGCCTGATGTGTTTAAGTATTATTACTATATTTAATCACTGCAGGTATGAATTTAAGAGTAAGTCACCAAAGTGAATCCTGATTTAGGTCCAGGAATATCTGAGCGGGTATGGAAAGCCATTAGAACAACACAGGAAAACATTGACATCTGCAATTCTGTGAGAAGTGAATTACGTGCTGCACTTACTGCTCTGCTTGGGGTACTTTCTGATCTGTTACTCTTTCGCTGTAAACATTTTGCTACCTAACTAATGCTCTCTTGAAGTAACCTGGGTTTGAATTGATAATAATCTTGATGAATGTGCTTTTTGAATGATGTATACATTAATATAGAAAAGTTAAGCCTGATTTACCATTAAAAATTAGAGATTCTTTGCTTGTATATTTTTATTCAATGCAATTTATACCAACATATGTAGATGTTTGCCTGCAGTATTAAACTTTTGACATATTCTTCCCATTTCTTTTTTATAAGTTAGACTAGTCTTCTTTATTTCTCCTAGTAACCATATCTATCTCTTACCAATAACTCTGCTTGAACATGCTCTTTAAGGACCATGGCATCCTAGCTATCCCCACAGCTCCAGGGGATCCACCAAAACTACAAACTGATCCAGCCACACTGGCAAGATTTCGTGCTAGGGCTTTTAACTTGCTCTCCATTGCAGGATTATCTGGATTCTGTCAGGTTTTAACTCGAAAAAGTTTCGCCTATTTTTTCTCCTTGTCTTTAATAGTACTTTCAAAATTCTTACATGTCTGGTCTACAGGTAAGCATACCTCTGGGAATGCATAATAATCTTCCCGTGTCAATCTCCTTGCTAGCAA